TGGTGATCGGTTCCTCGCAGCAGCAGGCTGACCCACCATCTAAAGAAATGACGTCATTGCAGGCTTGCCTCGTCTTCCAAAACAGAGGAGTTCCTGAGGCTATCAACTGAAACCAAATCATACCACCAGTGCCCAGCGACCAACACTTCCAGAACTGCAGGGAGATTCCATAACAACGGAAGGATGAAAGTGCCCCGTATGACCTGTTTTCTTTGGTTGTGACAGGGTTTAATAAGCAGGGATGCGTGCGTACAATGACACAATTCTAGAGGCTCCTGCTCATTGCTCCAACATCGCTCTCTGATTGGCAGGTCACAGGTCACTGCTAAACTCTAAGTGGGCTCCAAGGGACAATCGTGGTGGGTCTATGTTTCCAAGTCAGCATCCTGGGCTCGGGAGTCAAGGACTGAAAATCACTGCTGTCAATAGTGGCACAACCCTATAAACACTATTTTACCATGATTTCTGGGGTGGCTCTGTAGGATCAACAAGGGAATACAAATTGCAAGGTCATCAGTTCAAACCCATCAACTGCTCCTAGGAAACCCTATACAGGGTTGCTGTGAGTCCAAACCAACTCCATGGCACATAACAACAAAAATTCCATGGAGCAGTTCTGTAACATTAAAAAGAAAAAACCTTGAAAACGCATGAAATGTGTGTTTCCAAAACAAAGAGGCTTGGCTTTCGTCGGCTGTTGTCCTCCGAGCCAGGCCACCGATGGCTTCTTCTGGCCCTGGTTACTGCTGAGCTGCATTGAGCCCAATTCACCGCGAACCCGGGTACAATGGAGGAAACACTGCCCCGTCCTGGGTCATCCCGACGGTTGCTTGCTGGTGGGACCCTGGTGATCCACAAGGTTGTTATTGGGTGATTTTCGAAAGCAGACCACCAGACCTTTCTTCTGAATCCATCTTTTAGTCTGGAAGTCCCGCTGAAACCTGCTCAACATCAGAGTAACATACAAGCCTCCACTGACCATGGCTGGTGGCTGCTCGGGACACGCGCTGCCCAGTATCCAAGCCCGGGTCTACCCTGAGCTACCGCTGAGCCCCCACTGCCCTTCCCAGAGATGTTTTCCCTCTCCCCCTACCAGACTCTAGGCTCCAAGGAAAAGCTAGACTTCTCATTCCACTGTTAAATGACAGCACCTAACATTGTAATTGGCAATTCACACACAACAAATACTTGTGGATGAATGACAACTATGACGATATCTAGAATGGAGAGGCTTTGCCATTACTTTCATTACAAAAAGCATTACTCTTCAAAGTTACTGTCCTGCACTGTGAATTTAAATCTACTTGGCCCAAAATATAATTTATGGTAGAATTAAAAGTACGCTTTCTGATTGAATTTGCCTATTAATAACATGCATGTGATAATTACCGATGTGCTAAGCAGTCAAAACCAATAATTCCTTTTCTGGAGTCGGCCCTGCCTCTAAGCCAAGCGAGAGAGAGACCACTTACTGTATATCTAAAAATAGTCATGAGTTTTATGACATTCTGTTTAATCTCAGACCACAACATTCAAAACAGCTACAGGCCTTTCACTGGATCTGTTAAAACCCCACAAGACAGTCCAACTCTACAGAACCAAATATGGATTCTGCTCAGGTGGCACTGAAGAGCAAATAGACAGAAGCTGGCCCATTCTCATTTAGGAGTTCCTCTGACTGAGTAAGGGGCACTCATGATGCTGTGGGACCAAGCACTGGGGCTGCTGGCTGCAAGGTCAGTGGTTCAAACCCAGCAGACACCCTGTAGGAGAACTATGAGGCTGTGTGCTCCCGTGAAGATGCATAGTCTTGGAAACGCTCTGTAGGGCCACTGAGTTAGAAGTGACTCCACCGCAGTGGGTTTGTTTGTTTGTTTGGGTGGGTGGGGGGGTCTGAGGAAGTAAGGCACCCTGGTGATGCAGTATTTAAGCAATGATCAGCAGCTAGAACACATCAGCCACTCTGCAGGAGAAACATGTACTGAGCCTGAGGACACCCCATGGGGCACTTATACTCCATCCTACAAGGTCTCTATAAGGCAGATGGTGAGGGGCTTGGTTTAGGGGTCTCCCTAAGAGCCATGGACTAGTTGTTGTTAAGTGCCATTGAGTTGGTTCCAACTTATAATCACCCTGTATAGGGTTTCCAAGGAGCAGCTGGTGGGTTTGAACTGCCAACCTTGTGGTTAACAGTCCAGAGCTTATCCTACAGCGCCACACCAGGACCCCGACTAAGTGGTGGGGTTGCTCATAAAAACTACAGCCTTTCACTTACTTATGCTTGGTGTATTTTATTCAAGATGCAATGTAATCGGGTAGAAAGCTTTTATTTGAAATCCTATTTTGAAATATGACTGAATACATTAACACAATTCAGAACAACTCCGTAAACATCTGTAAGAACATGTTATATAATTCCAGTGAGTTCGTTAACATTCAGTTTTTAAAGAGACAACACCACCTGGAGTAACCGTGTTGATGTCTGAATTGTTTTGTTCAGTTGTCCAACCACATCAGCAGCACACTCACTGTGAGCGGCAGGAGCTCCAGCCGATGCTACTGTGTCTAGGGGCCACACAGCCCCAGAGACACCTCGTAGCTGCAGGCCAGGCCATCTGGAAGCAGTGTGGCAAGGAAGGCACGCCATTCTAAGTCACGTCAGTATCACACAGCGACCTCACTTGGGAACCCTAGGGGGAGGGCCACCAAAAGGAGCCAAGTTTCACTAACAGCTCGAATCTACCTTGCTACAAAAACAAAACCTCGTCACCTTTGTGGTCAGTCCGAGCTACTGGTATGGTGCAGGTTCTTTGCGCCTGTGCTGTGTAGCCCGAGACTGTAGAGATCTTGACTGTGTGCTGCTTTGATGAGCTCCTGGCTTAGAATCTGGAGCCCTAAGGGGGAAAGAGGGCTGTCTGAGTTTTCCCAGTCTGTCCATGGCAGACGTGGGACTGGTATCTGGGTTCCCTGAGGCCCAGTTCAGGTCTCTGTCCACTGCCTTGTCATTCTGCCTCCCTGCATCACCACTTTTGCCATGGAGCCAACAGCAGGCCAGGTGCTTCACCAGGATGTCAGCAGAACTGGGTTCAATCTGGTGGGATTCAGTGATGTGGGCAGGATCTCCACATTCACATCTTCATGTGAAATACACGAAAACAGAAAGCAAGGGAGGGTTGAGGGCTGAGCTCTGCTGATTCCACTCCCGGGACTTTAGGGAGAGCACCAATAGTTGAGGTTTCATGCCAACCAGCTGAGGCAGGATTCTTAGTGGTTTAGCGGTTAAGATGTAGTTATTGCCTCCATGATGAGATCTAACAGGACATAATTACCCCCGTGACGTGATCTGATGTTATCGGCTCTGATCTGATGTCATCATCTGACATGTTTCAATCCTTGGAGTCCTGGTATGGCGCTACAGGATAAGCACTGGAATGCTAACCTCAAGGTTGGTGGTTCAAACCCACCAGTCTCTCCTCAAAAACCTTACACAGGGTTGCCATGAGTCAGAACCACCACCGCCAACAATAATGATGATGTTGGAGAGGCTGGATGCCATCTGCAGGACAAGGTTGTGTCTCGAGTAAATCTCTTCTGAGATATAAAAGGAGAGCAAACGAGTGAGTGGAGAGATGGGGGCTGGCTACCCCTAAGAAAGAAGAGCTGCACACAGAGTGCATCTTAGGGGCTTGGGGTCCCTGACTGTGACGCTCCCAGGCCCAAGGAAAGACTGATGCCCAGGGAAGGCTGGGCCTACAGATGCTGGAAGAAGACAGGACCTCTCTCCAGAGCAGGTGCTCTGAACTTGGACTTCTAGCCTCCCCAATGGTGAGAGAATACATTTCTGTCTGTGAAAGCCATCACTTGTGCTATTTCTGTTGTAGTCCACCCTTCTTCCAACTCCATTCGGGGCTTTGTTCTGGATGGGACGCACCTGGCTTCTACAGGAGCTGGACAACATCAGTGTGGGTCTTGGTCGTGGTTGACAAGGTCCAGTTAGCCAGTAACAAGCATCCCTCACGGTCGTATCCTCAGCAGCGTGCCCAGGTCCCGTCTGCCCACTAAGCAGAGGGGTGGGGAAGGAAGCAGAGGCGGGCCAGCTCTACCCGCCTGATGCACAGGGCAGTCCACTCTTGCTTCTACTAGCTTAGTGGGCTCAGTCACTGCCTGGGAGAAAAGGCTATCACAGAAAGAAGGAAAAAAGAAAAGGAAGGAAGAAAATTCTCAGAGGGCACCTGTATTTTCAAATTGCCAGCAGCTCACTTTTCACCTCCTGTTCTTCACACCAGGTGGTTACAACAGAGCTGACCCTATCCCATGACCTGGGCAGTGGGAGCAGAAAGATGGTTAAAGACTTGGATTGCACCAGCTAGAGTAGGTAGTTTCTTTCTATTGCGGCTCCTCTGAGAAGAATATGAACCTGGGACTACCGGAGTCTCCACGACAAGAGAGCCCGCATGAAAACAAAGTCGACCCAGAGGGACAATGAGCTGAGAAACGAGGCAGCCAGCACATCCTGATACCATCCTCTGAGCTCCTGGCTCCCGTCTACCTCATGTACAGACCTAGCCCTGGACCTCGCAGTCCCATGAGACAACAAATGCCTTTGAAAGAAAAGAAAACAGAACGTCCGGCTGAAGCCAGGACTCTGACAGACACAGTGGTAAGTGTCCGAGGAGGGAGACTGCTCTCTGGGGTGAAGAAAAGTGACAGGTGGGATCGGTGCCATCTCTCATGAGACGCTGCCATCATCAGAACTGCAGCTCTGCCTAATTACTGTGATCAACCTCGCCACCTTCTAAATATACAACGAGTGCACGTTTTCTGAAGTTCAATGATACTGCAATAGTCGGGAGGAGAAGGAACCAGCCACTCTGCATAAAGGTTTCTTCTAGGAAAAAGCTTTTTTTTTTTTTTCCCTTTTTAAAAATTTCTACCCAAAGGGGATCAAAACTGACTGAGGGATCAAGAAGAAGAGGTCACGGTGACCACTGCTGTCTCACCTGGCATGGCATGAATGAGGTCCCCACACAGAACCAAGAACCTGGGTCTGGGGTTCAGCTTGTTGATGGCGTGGACAGCTTGTTCAGTCAGACGGATCTCCTGTTCCCACTCATCCCCACCTTTGTCACAGTCCCCGACGGACCAGGCCTTCATCAGTCCAAACTGTGGGTCTGCCCCTTGGATGAAGTAGAAGGGGCCTTTCCATTCTCTTTCCTTTTCTGAAATGGAAAAAAAAATAAAAATGAAGGGAAGGAGGGAGAGGGCGAGAGAAAGCATCCAGGTTCCCATATGTTCCAGGCTGCACTGGGCTGTCACTGCAGGGTCAGCCGTCCACTCTGGAGACACAGATGCCATGTGAAGGGATATAATATTTCTCTTAAATAAAGTAGGTCACTTTAATAAGCTGGCATTCAAACATACTATTTTCCTGTCATCGGCTAGAGGATTTTTATTTATGCTAATTATACCTGAGACCTGGTGATTCCCAAAGGCTGGGAGGGTGGACACAACATGCGGGCCACCACAACCATGCAGCCAAGCTGTTTAAAAATGAAGGCACCGCTTAAGGGAAATAAGACCCAATATATCCAGACTACACTCCCAGCTAAGGTTACCCAAGGTATAAGTAGATTTGTGTTATCTTTCAGTAACCCAGAAATTAATTGGAACTTAATCCAACAGCATT